CTACCCAATCAGTGGCACTCTGCCCAACATTCGACCTGTTGTGAACCACGACCCCGTCAGAGGAATGCGAAGCGCAGTTCTCGAAGAGTTTCGCTCAAACAGCAAGACGAGCAAGAAGTACGAGCTCAAGGATCTCTACAACTACGTAGTCGAGTTTAGCGGCGACCAACACGGCTCGCGGTTCATTCAGCAGAAGTTGGAGACGGCCAACAGCGACGAGAAGGACCAGGTCTTCCGGGAGATTGAGCCCAACGCTATCCAGCTCATGAAGGATGTCTTTGGGAACTATGTTGTTCAAAAGTTCTTCGAACACGGCAATCAAGTGCAGAAGAGGATTCTTGCTGAGAAGATGAGGGGTAAGATGGTCGATCTCTCGGTCCAGGTCTACGCATGCCGCGTTGTTCAGAAGGTAAGTCCACTCGCAGCCCTGTCACTCACGATAGACAATTCTTTGTTCGGATACTAATATAATACTCATTTCTAGGCATTGGAGCATGTCCTAGTAGAGCAGCAAGCCGAGTTGACTAGGGAACTTGCGGCTGATGTCTACAAGGTCATTACCGACCAGAATGGAAATCACGTCATCCAGAAGGTCATTGAACTGGTCCCACGACAATACCTGGATTTCATCATGAACGCTCTCCGTGGCCAAGTTACAACTCTGTCTACGCATCAATATGGCTGCCGCGTTGTTCAGAGGATGATGGAATACGGCACTGAGGCCGACAAGGCCGCCATCGTGAGAGAACTGCACCCTTCGGCCCACATCCTTCTCACAGACCAGTTCGGAAACTATGTGGCGCAGCATGTTATCCGCAAGGGGAAACCAGAGGATCGAGAGAAGATGATCCGGCTTGTCATGGGTCAGCTCATCGAGCTATGCAAGCACAAGTTTGCTTCCAACGTTGTCGAGACCTGCATTGAGGCAGGCTCCCCTGCTCTAGTCACCGAAATCCGAGAGAGGTTTGTCACACCAGGCGAGGACGGCACCAGCCCGCTCCCGCAATTGATGCGAGACAACTACGGGAATTATGTGATTCGTAAGTCGCCTAGGGTTCCCTGTCCACCTCGATTCGTTCTCAATGCTAACCAATGTGTGCAGAAAAGCTGTTTGCGACATTGAAGGGCCCCGAACTGGATTCATTTGCAGATGAAATCAAGCCCCTGTTCTATCTCCAGAAGAAGAACGGCAATTCCCGCCAGCTGACAGCTCTGGAGAAGCTACTCGACGAGTATGCTTTGAATGCGGTCAAGGGCGACCGACCAGCCCACTCCGACGATGCATCATCTACCGTGCCAACCCCTGCATCGACCAACGAGGCCAACAGTGTCAATAGCGACAGCCCCCTCACCAGTGTGGGCACGGCCGATGGTTCGGCCCCGGTTACAGTGGACCAAAAGCAGGACGACAACGTTAACGCGTCGTCGGCCGCGCAAGACACACAGAACGAGTCCTAAGATGGACAACCCTTGCTATTTCTATACGAATCGACGGCGGTTTTGACCGCACGCATGACTTATCGAGCGACACTCGAGAACACCTTGCCGACCACCATTCGGCAGACTTCACCTGGCTATTTTTTGGTACTTTATTGCACACACTCTCATAATATACTCGACTCAGTGAACAACCAAGGACTGGCAGTCTTACCACTTCCTCACCATGGATAAACGACATCTTTTTCTTCTGTTATCATCTTACTCTTTTTCGACATGGATTACATTCCAGATACGGACATAGGTTATCAAACAAGGGCGACATGGCGGTAAACGTGAGGTCGCAAATTCTTTTCCCCCCTGCCACGTGCAGGGTTGAATTATTCTACCACGACATAAACAAAAGAAAGCGGGTTGGAGATGCTCAAGCTTCTACAGCAGCGAGCCGTACCCGACCAGCTTGCCCATTTATTGCACAATAATGCAGTAGCTGTGGCTAATATAATTTATACAGTGGCACCTGGCGAGTTTACGGTTTTGGTTTTTTGGCATGATGAGCTTCTTTTATTTCACACTTTCAAACAGGGCAATGGATCCTGGCTGGCTGGTTACAGGGAACGGATCGGAAAACACAGTACTACAACGAATGGATGATAGGCATCTGGCCATAGGACATGCAAGGTATACCGGTATGGAACGGCTAGGGGTCGGACTCGTCCATAGAGTATTATTATTTTAAAAGCGATAATGAGGCACTGCTTCGGAATACGAGCTCACCGATTTGTGACTTGGACTGAATGACCCAGCTTGGGGCCAATTGTAAATACAGCGGGTGTATTATGTTATCCAGCGTAACCGTTTCTGCCTCTATGTATGCCCAGGAAATGAACTTCAGGGTAGTCTTGAGGTCTGGTGAAACGGTTACTTGGGCGACAGAGATGTGCTTGCTGACTGCCTGTTCCTGGTGTGAATCTTATCGCAACTCCCGGCGATCGATATGACGCCACGTGGTGGGGAACGGACCAACCGAAAGGCTGAAGCCACAGCTAAAATGGTTCTAGAGGTCTAACCTCGCACACCTACCTATGTCTACACTTAACTACGCATTCCGACATACACGGCACGACCTTCACCCTCGACCCCATTGATACATTACAGCAAGAAAAGAAGGAAGGGAAGGGAGAGCGGCTACATCTATGTCAGGGTCCCTCTGCTAGGTTCGGCGCTGCCAGCCCAATCAACACTTCCTCCCCTCCGGCCGAAACCCAATCCCGACCCCCCCTTCTCTCCCCAAGGGGCGAGCTATTATTACCGACACGGGAAACTAGAGCGAGACGACAATGGCGCTGGCAAGTCGGAGGGCGAGCTCTTCCCTCCTCGGCTGCGTCTCCTCCACCTCCTCCCACCCTTCCTGCGTGCGACGACCCCGATTCGAATGTACCTCACGCCTGCGGCAGCGGGCTGTCGCCGCCGCTCCCAGCTCGAGGCGGGGGCTGGTGACGGCCGTGACGGTCTACAACTCGGGGGACCAGGGACTGCGGTGGAAGAGCTCGTTCGCGCCGCGGCACGGCAAGGCGATTGAGCCGGGGGCAGGGGGCGAGGATGCGGCGGCGGTGGAGGCGGCGCTGCTCCCGACTACGATGACGGCGGGGGAGCAGCGGGCGGTGCAGAGCAGGAGTATTGTGAAGATGGAGGAGGGGCTGGAGCAAGGGGCCACGTCTGGTGAAGGTGAGATTGGGGAGGGGGAAGCCAGCGGGGAAGAGGAGGTGCACGCGTCGTCGGCGGCGGGTGATGAGGCGGGTGGTTCAGGGGCAAGCGGGCAGACATCGAGCGGCGGCGGCGGCGAGCAGACGGGCGCGGCTGGGAGCGAGAGGATGAGTAGGGGTCCGCTGGAGGCGGTGCTGAAGTTCGAGGAGCTGGAGAAGACGGCGAGGCAAGCCCCGGCCATGTCGCCGCCGCGGTATGTGCACCACTTCGACACCTTCTCGCTCGTCAAGCAGCTCCACGAGGGGGGGTACACGCAGCCTCAGGCCATCGAATCTATGAAGGGGATCAGGAAGTTGCTGGCGCAGAACTTGAGCGTGGCGCAGGAGAGTCTTGTGAGCAAGAGTGATGTGGAAAATGTGAGTATGACTATGTTTTCTCGGTCACCATCTCTCTACTACGGGCGGTAGCTCGTGAAGCGTGGTTGAGAATTTAACTAATAGATTTTGTGTGGCAGGAATCCTACCTCTTCAACGCGGCATGTTCTGAGCTGGGACAGGAGATCAAGAATAACCGGAGACTGCAAGATGAGCAGGTCCGGCAACAGAGGACGCACCTCCAGCACGAAGTGGACATTCTGCAGCAGTCGCTTAACCAAGAGGTGTCGACGCTCAACGACAATATCCGCGGCATGTTCAACGACCGGAAGATGGCAGTGCGGGCAGAGCAGACGACCGCAGAAGGCGCGGTATGTGCTTCTTCACCTTGATGCTCTACCTCTGATGATCGTGTTTACTAACAAGACACATCAGATCCAACAAATAAACTACAAGATCAGCACAAGCCTGGTTAGTGACATGAAGTCGGAGATCGAGGGAGTGCGGTGGATCCTCATCCGCCGCTCAGCAACAGGAATCTTCTTCATGGCGATGCTGACACTGCTTTCGATCCGCTACGCTACCTATTTACATAGCGAGACGCAGAAGGAGAAGCAGCGACGCAAGAAGGAGGAAAGGGATCGCAGGGATCGCGGCCAGACGGACAGTAGTCCGGCTGCAGACGCAGCTGCGATACTGTCTGCGAACTAGGCGTATCGCGAGATGGACGGTGCGATGATGACAAGTAGGGCATGGAGGAAACATGCGGGAAGCGGATGGCATGGTACGACATGGGATTTGATACCCCTCAAAGAAAACTTTCATATGTTACAATGCATACATAGACTTGGACTATAGATTTCATTTTCTCATAGAGGACTTAGGAAAACGGCTACTCAATCGGTTTCATCATACACGATATCCTTCTTCCCTTTCTTTTCGAGTATTGTGTTTTCGATCATTTTCAATAATAAATCCAAATCACTAAATTCCCTGGCTGAAAGACTGGGCTGGTTATTTATATAACCACTCTCCTTCGCTTGGGAGATGGTTAAGACAGTACCCCAGGTAATGTTGGGAAGCACATTGTTACCCTACACCGACGGTGCATGCCAAACACCAAAGCCTCCGGTGCGAAAACAAGTAGAAGAAAGTAATTAAAAAGAAACTCGCCTCTAAATCCTATGATCCCGGTTATTACCTCGTCTTCTATCTCCTGCAATCCACATTCTCTGTCCTATCCCAGGTCGATCTAGCCTTACACACCCATCAGCCAAGTCGGGCCAAGGCCAGCCTTCAAGCCCTCCCCTCACTCCCCCTTCCAGAAGATGAAGATGCACCCCGCGTCACGTGCAAGCGCGGAACCCCCACCACGCGTCTTCCGACCAGTCTCTCTCTCAACGTCACGGTAGCCCGACATCCAACGCAGGTCGGGTTCGACACACCAACTCCCCCCTCCCCGAACCAGATGCAGCTCCCGCCATGAGCGCCGAGCAACCAGACACAGAAATGGCCCCGGCGCCTCCTCCCCCCCCCACGGAGACGGAGCCCAGCCGCGACTCCGAGGCGACGCCCACGCCCGCGCCAGCACCAGACGTCAACGAGAACGTCGCCCCGGGCCCGCGCGCGACGCGCCTCCGCGCCCTCTACGGCCAGGCGCTGCAGCACACACTGGGGAAGCTGGCGTGGGAGAACTTCGCCGCCTGCTACCCGACCATCTCGAGCCGGTCCGAGGGGGTGCTGCGCCAGGTGCAGGGCCAGATGGTCGGGAAGCTGGGGGAGAAGTGTCAGGTTAGACCTCCACCCACCTACTTTGCCTTTTGCTAGAGATTCGTAACGGAGAAACTGACAATGGTATGGCTTTGTAGAAAGAGTTCGACAACATCATAGTATCCAGACAAGTCGTCCCGAAACTCAACGAGCTCGAGTCCCTCATCGCCGACGCCTCGAAGCGCCGCGCCGAATCGGACGATTCCGTTCCCGATCCCACACCGTCCGTGTTTCCCAATTGAAGCCCTAGCCCTTCCCTTCCTACTTACTTAAAAATATAAAACTAACACACCTGCAGACCGCACCTCCTCCCCCCCTCCCGCATCCTCTCCGCCCACCTCACCCCCGCCCTCATAGCCCACCAGTCCCAGCTCAACGCCCGCCTCCAGACGACCCAGTCCCAGAACGCCCTCCTGCACGAGGAGATACTCCGGCAGCAGGGGGAGGTGGAGGAGCTCATGAGCCAGCTCGACGCCCTCGTCGCCGACGTCAAGGGCGCCAACGGCGCCCTCTCCGAGGTGGCGGACCTGCTCGCCGCCGAGTCGCGTGAGGCCGAGGCGGCCATCTCTGGGACTAAGAACGCTGCTGCTGAGAGTTGATTTGGCCTCCGCTGGACGAATAAAATCAAATTTTGCATTCTATCGGGATTGCTTGCATGCAGGGGCTTGCACTGGCCCAGAGCGGGACGAGATATTCTTAGCTGGAATGGCGTTCAAGGAACCCCACTGGCATGGGAGCAGGACTTCACAACCCAATTAGTGCGATTTATTTCCATGAATAAGGAATTACACATGTGCGAGGTTTTGGTTTGGTTCAGGGGTGTCTGGAGTTGCTAAATATATTGATACCATCTTGTTTTCTTAATTCGTTACATGAGATATGGGGCCGGTAAAAAAAGAAGGTTACTGATGTTTGTTCGTTTGCTTATTTCGTTGCTTGAAGTCCAGTATCCTAAACTCATCCCCTCTAAGGGTGCTATATTCGTAAACCTGAGTGGACATTTCCCAAATGCCCATTGCAGGATTCCCAACCTACCATGATACCGGTAGGCGAGATGTATATGCGTGTGTAAAACCATGAAACTCCGCCCAATGACAAATGATAGGCTACTCCAAAGCCGCCCCCCAGTTTATGCTGAATCCCCTTAACCAAAACGTGCGCCGTAAATGCCGAAAGACCTTGCGTGGCCGTCTAGGCCATGACTTCCCCCAAGCCCTGGTGTGGGCTCAGAACAGGATGTCGAGTTGAGAAACTCGAATATATGGGTAATCTCTAGTAGATGGTACAGTTGAACGAAGTGTTTCTTCCGTCGTAGCCAGACTTGCGTACTGGCAGGCAATGATTTCCCCGTAGCCAAGGTTCCATCTCTGAAAGTGACGAGAGCCAAGACCGAGTGATCGACCGACTCCCCACAACCAGAACAACGGTATCAGATGCGAATATTTTCCGTATGAATGACTTGCCAAGGGCCGAAGTAATCCACCTCTCCATATGCCGGTGGTAGAACCCGCACCATCCGACCAGTCGACCAGTCGACGAACCATTTCTTTCCTTTGTGGATGATGTAATTGGATTTTCGAGGACTTCTAAAAAGGAGATTGCTGTAACAGAGTTTGGCGTAGAGCATATCATGCGCGCTTGTCCATTGATGATCTGGCACCCACTTGCCGGAGTGAGGGTCAATACCAGCGTTATCATATGATGTTGTACTCAACCGGTGAGTAAGATCTAATCGTGGTGGGTGGCATGTGCCTGCCTCTCCGTCTTCACTGTCGCTGGAATCATCAAATACAGGTATCGATCTTGAAAGCTCTTCGTTTTCCTCTTCGTCCTCTTCCTCGGCAGGCCTGCTTGCTGACTGGGCTTGGGCGTCCATTTGATGGAGGTTCACTGCTAAATCTGGGGTCGAGGAGCTCCTCCGGACACTGGGAGCCGAAATCTCACCCGAGTTTTGCTCTGGGTCATGAGGTGCATCCTGAACTGCAATCCCAGGGCCATCAGGCGATTCGCCACGAAACCAGCGGACTCGTTGAATTCTGGGAACCGACATGTCTCGAGGGAAGTCTCGATCATCGATTGGAAGAGCAACGTCGATGGCGGCGAACAACCCTTCCATCCACCTATTAAATGTGCTTAGTTCGATGCATGAGAGTAAGAACTGGTCAGTCTCTGCTCGAATACGAATCACATATCTTCGTCTGTAAGAATATTCCGGTTAGTACATGTTCTTGGCGAACACCATCCGCATCGATATGAACTCCCCGGCGAGGGTTCAGAGTCGACTCACTTCTTGTAGTCTGCAGCAATACCAGCGTCGGCGTATAGCAAGCTATAGGTCTTTTCAAGTTTTGATTTTGTCATCCAGGGGGGGTTGTCGGGGCTGATTTGAGGCCCGTCTCGAGTCTTTCCCCAGGTTCGAGATTTCTTGGCTTTGTAAATGTTGAGGGCTGTTCCAGTAAGAGTAACATAAGACGTATGCCAGCGACGGTCTTCGGCCCTCTTGTTGGTGCCTTCGATTTCATGCTTCTTCATAAAAATTCCTTCAAGCTCAATGGAGCTTGAATAGCTCGGCAGTTTCTCTTCCCCATGCCCATCATCGCTAATCCCGGCAGGACTACCCCGGCGAGACCCTCCGACTTCATTGCTTTGGTCAACAGTTGCAAGAGGTGCTGCTTGCGTTGACGTTGACGCTTCATAAGGCGGTGGTCGTGAAGGCCGTGTGGGGTCCGTTGTCATAATACGCTGGTAGAAGTAGTCCTCATCGATAGACAAGCGACGGCGAAGAGTCGCCGGGGGCGATCTGGGAAGCGTTGGTGGTCCATGGGGAAGGACGTCCCGATCGGCGCGAGGGTCCATGAGGGAGACCCTATTTGATATGCTCTCCTACTCATGCAAACGTCCAGGCAAATGAAATGAGGGTGGTGGTGGGCAGCTCTTGGCCTCCGGGCGAACCGGCGTATGCAAGTTTAGGTTTGAGGCGTCCAGAAGGTGGCAGATGGTCTAACAAGGAGAAAGGTATGGGCGCGGCGGTAGAGAAGGACGTCCAGGTCGCGGAGGCGAGGAATGATGGTGTTAGCATTGACACACGATACGCGACGAAGCCTCGCACACTTTTGTCTCCGCCGTTGGAGTCAGGCTGAAGGTGCTACTCATAGCGACTCGCTCAACGGCATCGTTGCAGGGCGGAAGGGGAAAACGAGAGGTGGAGGATGGGATTCTGGAGTCGGGAGAGGAAGGCCCAGGTTTAAAGATCAATCTGATGGATGGGATGGGGAAAGGCCCCGGCAGTGGGCGCAAAGTGCCTTAAGGCCACTACAGGCGCACGATGGGGTGGTTGCTTCGCTGTAATGTGGGCAGTCCCGATGAGATCCGAGGCGAGGTGCAGTGGCGGGGGGTGTATGGGGGGGTGTATAGACAGTAATGTTTCAGTCGCTCTGGGAGCAGGGACCGTTTGTCAAGACGTTACGGCAGCTAATAATGGGGACGGGTGGAGAGGTGAGAAGCGCAGGACGAGGTGGGTGTGGACAGAGGAAAAAAGCTGCGCAGAGGCCACAGGAGCTGCCGTGCAGAAAGGGTGCTTGCGTGCCTTGTGTAGGGCGTCGTGTTTGGCTGGTGTTATACGATCGGCACACAAGAGCCGCCGGTTGGCAAGGAGTCTCAAAAGGGCACGGCCAAGACGAGTTAGGAAGCCGCGTGAAATTCCAGTGAGCGTGCGACGGATGAGGGGCGTCATACAACAAGGAGCCGTAGTGAGGAGCATGAGCATGCGCAAATCAGCAATTGACCGGGGTCGGGGGCGCTGGAGATGCCGGTGGGAGAGGAGATGGATGAAAAATGGATGGCAGCGGCGGAGCGAGTGTGCGTCGCTGTGCTGATGCTGCGCTGCGCTGGTGCCGTCGGCCTCGCCAGGCGTCACGAGACATGGGAGAAACCAGCTGGAGGCACACAGAAGCAACTTGGAATTGACCAGAGTCAGGACTGTGGGATGGTGCGTCGGAGCCGGCGACAGGCCATGCTCGATAGGCCCAGCGGCGCAGACTCAATCTCAATCTAGAAGCAAAGGGCCGTTTGCCAGAGACCAACGGCCTGGACACTAGCCCAAGGGCAGGTGCCGGTGGGGCCAGGGCTCCTGCCTGGGTACAGTACCTGGGCGCCTCTGGATACCGTACAGAGCAGTCGCTCCTTCCCGGAGACACACCTAACTAAAGAGGCGCGCGAGGGTGCGCCCAAAGCGTGGGAAAGAGCACACGAAATGCGGAGCTGCCACTTGCTCGACACTGGTAAAACTGAGCAGGACCCCAAAATAATGTCCAAGAGCCGCTCAAAAGGTCCCCAGGACATGGACTCGCATACCGCGCCATGCCCCATGCGGTAGGTGCGTCGGTGGCGCGCCATCACGCCTTGGGCCAAGCTCGGGCGAAGTACGGGGAGCCATGCTGGGACTGTGAATCGGCTGATGCATGTACAACATAAGTCGTTAGCCAGCCAGCCGTGTCGCTCCGCGGCCTATCAGGACCTTTCGGGGTGCCCAGAGCTGAGGGCAGAGCAGCGCTGGATAGAGGTAATCGCCCGTTATCGCTGCCGGCCCTTTGTGCGATGCTCTTGGCTGGTGGCGCTGGCCACAAGGGTTCATGGCAAGATGAGGGTGATGTGGTGATATTGTGATACACAGGCCCGGCCGGCGCCATAGTGTGTAGTCAGGTATTAAAATGGACACTACGTAATTGGCAGGCAGACAGTGCGTCGGTCCAATGTTACGGCAGGGCTTCATCCTCCCTGCTAGCCCGTTCTGAGCACCGTTCATCATCACGATCGGCCTCTTTCTCTCTTGTGTCTGTCTGATGGTCCATGTGCGCGCGCCAGCACGAGTCTCCTTGCTTTGATCGCCATCGTCGTGCTCGGCCCAGGTACGCGCGGAAAGGGGTGGCGGTCGAGACAGATCCAAGTCGCAGTCCCGGCTAGGAAATGCCATTGTGCAGAGCATTTCCCCTTTCGAGCCAGGTCTGACAAGTGGTCGCTGGCTAGATTCTTTTCTGCTTCATCTCCATCTTTATGCTCCATTCCATGTGTGGCCTGCCTCAGCACGGCTGGGATGATGTTGCAAAAGGACCTGGCTCCTCTGAACAGATCTATTACATGACATGACTCCATGTGCAGGTCAGCCGTGGCGAGACTGGACGTCGATACTAGCGATCCATGGCCTTGGCCTTGGACATTGCGCCGAAGCGTGCGCGCACCGAGATGCCCTATGCTGAATCTATTTGTAACTGATTCCCAGGCGTGCAGGCATTCGCGGGATGTACAATGTAGGTACAGGCGTGGCATGTGCGTGTGAGTGGTCAAGCGAGTAGGGAGGCCCGTGTTTGGTGTGTGTCAGCCCCAAGCGCTCGGAACTTTTGACGTGGGACTTGGCACCTTTGAAGTGCAGCGCAGGCAGGGAATAAAGGGCCCTAGCACGAGCACTAGCTGCTCGTTTGCGGCCTACTGTCGGGCCTCGTCTCTGCAATGAGCGCCGCCGACGGGTAGCCAGATCTCCATGGAGCTCGGCCGCGATTAGTGGCCCGTCGCTCCCAGACCGACCGCACGCCCTTTACGTGAATTCCATTGTCAGAGCAAAGACCGGCGCCGGCTCCAGCATAGACGAGCTGCCTAGTTTCTGTCAAGTCCTCACCTTATGGGTTACCCAGTATATAGAAATGGCAGGGGGTCCCGGACTCGCCTGTCCGCCCTTCCGCAGTCCGCATGTACAGTACAAACAAAGTATTGGCCATGTAGAGCTGGCATGGATTACGTACGGACTCCGGAGCACAGCTTGGTGTTGCTTTCGTTGATAGGTCTGCTCGTGGATTTATTTCACGTGTGAACCCTGGACGGACACCCCTGCTGATACATCCGTCACGGAACTTTTTTTTTTCGCTGTCTCTTTCTTGAATGCGAGGATCATCCGGGTACATACTGTACATGTGCCGCCGTAAAGCGAGACTTGGAATTTTCAGTCCCTTGTCGTGCGTGCCATTAGTCTGCGTTGTTGGATTCGGTGGATGAATCATCGTGTAGGAGAACTTTTTTCCTGCTCCTACAGTCCCCCAGCCCGAAACCATGGACTATTATTAATAAGATCCGTCGACCAGAAAGGAGGAGCCCCTAAAAAAAGGATGCGCGGCAGAAGTGCCAGCCAAGATGGTAACATCCGGAGAGAAAGACTCCAGCGCCGGGTACCTTGTAGAAATTATGATGTATTTGTGCTGATGGCATGTTTTGTCATCACACTTTATTTTTGACTTATACCTATGCTGATTCTTGTTATTCAACATCACGCCGCAGCCGACTCGTGGCTGATCTCCTGCATCATACTTGACATGCTAGGTGTATTATTCGTGAATAAGTGATTCGCAGGGACGCGAGCATCATCGTCGATGAGCGATGGTTATCCCTGAGAACGGCGAATCATAGAAAGGCCGAGAAAAAATCATCACGAAATTGAGATTCCCATGCGCAGCAACTATGGAACGTAGCATGGTGGCTCTATTGCCCGCTACTGAGTGCACGATCTCCATCAGCCATTGATCCCCCAAAAGTTCCTGGGGAAAGGACCGTGAATGAGGCTGAACCCAGACACCAGCCAGAGATTAGTAATATTTAAAGTTGCGGGACCCCAATCAGGAAAAGTTCCTTCCATCTGTGGCCGCCAAATGAGGAAAGATGCTCATGGCCTTTTGGAGCTCTCCTGCTAAACTTGCTCGTGGCCTCTCAGCCTGTGGCTTGGCTCACATGGGTTCTGAAATGTCAAGATGCAATTGTCATTATAACATGGCACTAGAATATCGCCATGGCGATGGACGCATGCATGCCTGCATTCATTGGCCTACAGGCGCCCAAGCCGGGTAGCCATGCCTTGTCTCGTCCCCATCCTTTGGAGTGACCTTCCAGGCGTCTCTGGGGTTCGTTGCTCCCAACGTCGCCTGACAACTCTGACACCGGTTGATGCATCCGAGTCGCCCAGGGTGTAAAATCACCATGACCATACACCTCGAAACCCTATCTTGCTGTCGGGTACCCTTTTCGTGGCGATGCTGGATTTCCAATGACAGGGCCATACCTATTGGGCTGGTCTGAACATCCTCTTTGCCAGCTGGTACTTTGATAAAAGAAGGGTTCTGCCAGGCTGACCCTTCCTGATGTCCTCTTCTCAGGGCTCACCGCAGAAGTGTCCGAAATGTATGACCAACCGAGTAGGCAGGTATCCCAGCGTTTACTTCTAGGCAACCCCCTAAATCGGGTGTTAACCAGCGTCAATGGATCGCGGCCAGAACCACCTCCCTCTACTGGTCGGTCCAGATAATACCCTGCAAACCAATACAACCGGCCTACTTACGGGAAGGCAGAAAACCCCTGCTGCAGGACAACGCAGCCACTGTGTTGGCTCTGATAGCGACCAGGTTCTTCACATCTTCCGGTGTAGATATGGGCTTGGATGCAGACACCACCGCACGATATGGCTGATGATTGAGCCTGCTCGTCACTACATCGGTATTTTCGCGAATTGAGGCGATTTACAGCTAAGAGATGGCACGATCTTCCTTCGAGTTTCAGATTTTGACTGCGAAAGACAGCGGTTGGCAGGTGTGCCCTGCGAGACCTACCTGTGATTCTGCACCTGGATGGCTCTATCCACCAATCCATGGAACCATAGCGGTGACGGGATAGGACGACATTATGCGCCTCTCCATTCCCAGAAAGATGCGTGGACTCCGCAAAAAATCCTTCGTCACATGGGACAGCAAGTCGGCGCGACTGGATGAGGCAAAAATATCCATCGAGATAGCTTCGATCTGGTTGAATTTCACCGACCTCGCTCCTAGGAGCGGGCTGGATGAATACGGCGTCCGTGAAAGTGATTACTCTGTGAATGTGAACAGCGCTTTGTACCTTCTGGTGGTGCCTCACGTCAAAGAAGAGATGAGCGAACTGCAACCAGACGACGCTCTTCCCCCACCAGGCGGTAACTCAGCTACGATGGCATAAGACGATCACATGTCTCTACGCAGATCTGTCTGAGCAACGATTTTGCTTTTCCTCGTACCCATGGATTCCGAATTGGTCCAGAACTGGCGGGCGGATGTTCAAATCTTGGCTTTCTTTCCTCATCTAGCTTCTAATGCCATGCATGTGACTAGTTTCTCGGTTTACGATATGAGACCGAAGGGGACTAGAGATGTACAAGTGTACATTTATAAAAATAGAGATGGAAAGATAGAGAGCCATCTACAATCGTACCTCTAAATTCCGTAGATCTTCATGGGGGTTCCGGCGATTTCCCTGATGATAATGATGGTGATGGGTTCTTTTGACCGAGCAAAAGTGCGGCCTCGTCCACCGACCTTTTGCTCGCCGGCATGAACTGGTTCATCGATCTTTCAAAAGTACCTGCTTCGTCGCTCCCTGCCCGAGCGAGTAACATGGTGAGCTCCAGGTCAGCGACTCTCACGCGGCTTCACTGCGGGCAGACCAGACCGTCCCGTCTTGGCGCGATTCACCAACGTCTGACGGCCATTGATACCTTCCCAATTGTATACCTATAAAGAAACTTCGGTATAGAAGATGATTGCCTGCTGCCTAAGGGTTGTGGAGGGAGGCGCATAGTAGAGATTTTCATTTTCCTTTGTTAGAAAAACTAAAGCAAAGCCTTGATGAACGAATTCATGCTGACCCAGGGAGCGGATTCCAACTCTTGCCAATGTAGGCAAGGGACTTATGGCTGAGAAACCCTAAGAGATGTTCCTATTTTCTTGGCGACAACGAACCTGACTAGTTGGAATCCCTCAGAGATCCCATTCACCAGATTAATGCAACTCAAACCGAATCAAAGTTCACTGCGAGTTTTGCTTCCCGTCTCCCCGTCCGGCTGTCAACTCTCTGCATGAAACGGGGCTGCTGCATTTCTGCTAGTTCTTCCTCCCATGTAATGCAAGGCAAGCCCAGACAAGGCAGGGCAAGCAAGCCAAGACAAGACAAGGCCAGGCCAGACCGCAGAACCACCACAAGGGCCGGCTGGACTGCGATATAGATGGCTCCGAGATACTACGTAGTATGTGCGAATCCTCAAACCTGCCTGGATGCTTACCTAAATTGACGATGAGTACCTATCTACGGATACTCCTTGCTTGCCTTCTTCCCTGTCAACCTCTTCCCCCCGCCGTCTAATCGCAAATCAAATGCCGTGCCGATCCCTTCAATCCCTCCCCCAGCAAAAAGGCAAAAGTCCAAACAAGCAGCCCGGAAGGGCGATCCTCCTTTCCCTTCTTTTCTGGCCTCACTCCTCCTCCCCCTGCCGGCGCAAGAGTCAGACAGACACAAAGACGCCCAGCTAAAGCTTCTAGCTGGGCGCGAAAGAAACCAGAAGAAGCAAAAGAAGAGCATCTAGTCTGATTTGCCCGGACGCCAGCCCCAGGCTTCGCGGATCAATCGGCACCCAAATCGTCTCTCTTCTACTCGATATCGCATAGCGGCATGGTTTAGGACACCCTTGGAGCAATTTATCAGATGGACAAGTCTCAGCATACACACACACCCCACCCTCTCTCTCACACACTTACACACATCACACACGCCTCCCCTTTCCCTGCCGCCGCCAAAAGCTTGTTGCAGAGGATCTTGTGTCCGCCAGCTCGCCAAACCCCGTCATTCGATATTTAGACTTCCCAAAGACCGCCGTCCGGGGTGGCCTGATGGCCGTCCGTACATATGCAGGGAGCTTATGATGCGTGTGTGCTCCCAATTGCGGTGTTTTCGCTGGGGGTTTCCTTCAACTTTCAATGCTACTTACTTTTGCTGCCCTTTATTAGAACGGAAGGTGGTAACCAGCCACTTTTTTTTTATTCACCTTTGGGGACAACTCTCACACTTCTCACTTCTCACTCGCTCGCTCGTCCGACTTAGTCGCTGTCTCTACTCATGCGCATTGTCCCTCCCACACCGACATGACACACTCGCCCGTCTCATCTCATTTCGTCCTGTTTCGCGCGTATAATTCAAGCCCGCCACCAGCACCCTCCTTCTTCCCGTCCAGACACTTCCACAACCCGCCCAGTCCTCTCCTCTCATGAGAGCTCCAGACCGTTCAGTCTATCTGATGGCCAGGGCCGCGCCTTGCATGCCTTCCCTTGCAAGCACGGCATTCCTATTTGACCCCTCCCCCAATATCATCATCACCATCGTCCCCTTGTCGCCGACTCCGGACCCCCTCGCCTGTTCTTATCCTCAGCTTCAACCACCACCCGGTAAGTCCAACCGAGAGGAGCCAACGAAAGGGCATACCAATGTTACCAATCACACCTAACACACCTAACCCCCCCGATCATTGCCTCTCCGAGCGCGGAAATAAAAGAACCACTCTTAACCAAGGTGGTGGGCTCTCCCTCTCGTCCCACCCAACTGCCGCCCCCCGAAGCACGCGATCATCTATCTATCTCCGTGCCCCCCCTCCCCATGATGCATACATAAATCCCAAAAGCAACGCAATCACACGCGTACCCCGTCGGGGAGACCAAGAAACGGCCCTGACCTTTCGGCCAACCTCCACGAGAAACTCCACCCGTGTGACGCGCGGAGTGCCGACTTTCCAGCCTTTCGGCGTTGCCGCCCTACCCTTTGATATAATGGCACCTTGGTCTTATGTGTGTCCAGCTCCGTTAAGATGTAGGACGCTACCTTGATGATGTGAAGAGATGACTAGCCTGGGCCACCGTAGCATTGTGATTTCCCCGTCGTTTTTCCCTGAACCTGGACGGTGACGCTTTGCAGTGACCAATGGAGGTGCAAGTTGATATCAGGCAGATTATAAGACGGGTAGACTAATGGAGATTGCTTCGGAACCATCAACTGCGTTCCGAAGTTCCAAAGAACGTAACATGGTTGTAGATGAGGTGGAAACATACGTAGACTGGCAGACGCCAGAGTAAGAGTAGCAGTAACAGCAACCGTAAGATCTCACGTTGGTAAAACCGTCGTGAAGATGGGTGGGTTGTGGTGATCATTAGAGTCACAAGCAAGGCAAGGTTAGAACTTGTGTCAACGAACTCATATTACAGATACAAACAAAGGATCTCTCTAGTCTGGCCCTCCTCGCTGACAATCGCCAAACCCTCGTTTGGTTCAGACTCGTCGCCGAGTCCTCTCGCCTTCCCCTTCCCTTTCCATGATATTCCCCCCCCTTTCCCCCCAACGCTCCTCCCATTTCCCAATGCCGTTATCCCCCCCCAAGACCTCCTGCAAACAAAAGACACACTTTTGATTATTCCTCCCCTCCCTATGCAATCGGCTCCTTTTCTTTCAACCCAAGTGAGGGCTCAGTTTGCAAGGCAAGTCAAGTAGTAATGCTTTCAGTTGCAAAAAATTGTCCCTCACAACCACCATATCCGAATGATTTCTTTTTCTCTCCCTTCGGCCGCGGCGCCAAAAGAAATAAAACCAAAACGGCCGGCTCCTAAAAAAAGATCGTCTTCCGCCGAAACCAAGGGGAAAATAAATATGCCAATGAATAGCGCCAGATGCAATGATAAAAAGAAGAAGAAAATACATGAAGCGAAGAAATTTAAGGCAATGCGCCACACGCTCCCTGCCAAACTCCATATAGCCCTGGCACCTGTTCCCATCCGCCCAACCTTCCCATACATACAGATACTGCAGATTCAACAACCTGCAAAGTTCCCTTTTTCTTGCTAAATTAACCTATACCCAAGCAATGTAGGTATTTGATGTTTCCTGTCTCCGAGCTGATAATTGCTCATGATTGTTGCAGAATATGTCAGCAATGCTGCGCACTCTGGAGTCATGTAGTGCCCAGCAGATTTTTGAAATCGTTGTCCCACCCCTAGACGATAAATATGTCTGAGGGCTATCGGGGCATCTTCACCTCGCCCCAGAGCCACGGTATACCATGGCTGTTATGTTCATTTGTTTAGGCGTTCTGAGCCTGGGCACCACCGCGGCCGCGAGGGGCTCCGCGTCCTCTGTTCTGTCCAGAGAAGTTGCCCCTGTTGCCGCCCTGGCCGCCGTTGCGGTTGCCGTCGAAACCACCACGGCCACGCTGAGAGCCGCCGCGTCCGCCGCTGAAGTTGTTGCCGTAGGTGTTGGCCTTGGGGCGGCGCTGCTCAACGATGATCTGCTCTCCGTTGACACTGTGGGGGCTGGCGCCGAGAGCGGCCTGGAGACCCTCAGCGGTCTTGTACTCGACAAAGGCGCAGTTCTGTAAGCTTGTTAGTATTTCCGGGATGTGAAGTATGACGGAGTTGATTTCAACATACCTTCTGGCGGTTGATGTCAAAGTAGGCGAGCTCGCCATAGGCCTCGAGAGCCTTCTTAAGCTCTCCGTCCTGGACCTTGTCGGTCACGTACTTGACATAGCCAAGGGTGCCCTCCTTATCAACAGGAGCGGCAGAAATGGATTGAGGTCGGTTCTGGCGCTTGGAGTCGGCGCCGGCTGTCTGCCAGCCGGCGGCATCCTTTGGCTGGGCCTCGGCAGCAGGAGCAGGAGCAGCCTTTTCAGCAGGGGCAGCAGGCTGAGCGGCGGCGGCAGCGGGCGCAGCGGCGGGAGCAGGAGCACGGCTCTGGCTCTGGGCAGGAGGAGTGGCGGTCTTGGGGAGAGGGACCACAGGTCGAGGCCCGGCAGCGGCAGCGGCACGGCTGGCCCAGGTCATGGGCTTGGGGGGACCAGTGGGCTCAGGAGCGGCAGCCTCAGGCTGAGCAATCTCCTTGGCGGCAGGGGAAGGGGCGGGATCTTGAGGCTTCTCGGCAGCCTTAGCATCCTCATCAGCGAGGTCCTTGGCGGTGGTCTCGGGATCAGGCTTGGCGGCCTCGGCCTTGGTAGCCGGCTTCTCCGCCTCGACCTTCTCCTCGGCAACCGGGGCAGCTTCCTCAGATGAGGCCTCCTCAAGCTTCTGCTCGACGGCCTTAACGTCAAGAGCGGGGCTGGGATCCTCTGAAGCAGCCTCCGCGGGCTTCTCAGGCTCGGCGGCAGGCACAACCTCGACTGCAGCCTCCTGGGCCTCCACAGTGTTGGCCTCGGCAGTCTCCTGAGGCACCTGGTCTTCGTCATCGATGTATCGAAGGATGTCGTTAAGAACGAAGTATCCAGTAGGCTGCTGAGCGAGAACGAATGTCTGGACGAATTTCTTGGGCTCGCCAGCCTTGTTGGAAACCTCACCGATCACCTGAATAACAATGCCGTCGAAAGATGCTTGTGAGTCGACATTGGAAACGCGGACCTTGGTGTCCTGGAAGTCGAGCTTCTTGATGCGCTCCTGGATAGCCTGCGGGTGCCTTGTTAGCCATCACTGCTTCGGGGACAGCTACTGAAGGAAGGCTCATGAACAACTTACCTGGCGTCCCACCGAGACGTCGGCGAGCTGAGCCTCGACTCCAGCGACGAACTGGGAGCGCTTGTGATAGAAGAGCTACAGGGAACACGTTAGTCTGGAAGCTCTTGAAGCGTCCCGAAATAAGTTCGCGGCATATAAACTCACGTGAAGCCTCTCAGGCGTCTTGCTGAGAGTGGTGTAGTACTGCTCGATGAAGATCCATCCGATCTGGTCCTTGGACAGGTTGTTGTTGGAGCCCGCAGTGGACACGACGTCAGAGGGAGCGCTGCCCTGATCGGTCGGGGCCTTGTACTGCTCCTGGTGTGTAAAGCTTCCGTTCGTAGCCATGGCGGCGGTGTTATGTGCGAAGTGGATTCGTGTGCGGAAAAAGGTGTGGGGATGAAATTACAGCAGGCTATTGCGTGGGCGCGTCGGACCTGCTAGTGCCTGGAATCGAAAGTTGTAGGTGCGAATTATGCAAACAAAGAAAAGAATGCGAGATGCAATCAAGAAGTGTTCGCTTTGAGGGAGAGTCGGGAAGGTCGAGGACTGTGCCGTATTCCCAGAGTCGCCGTGGGGAGGAGAATGACGATATAGCACCGGAGTGGTATAGCCAAGCAAATGATTCGGAGAGGTTCGAAGGGAAGGAAAGAAACGGAAGGACGCGGTATGGGGGAGCGTCTGCGTCGCGAGGGGGGGTTTGAAAAAGAGCTCGGAGGGGAATCACGAGGAGATTCGGGTTGGAGCAGAGGAGGGGATGTTAAGTGTCCTTGAGGAGTCACGTCGTGGAGATTGGAGGTTTTCGGGAGGAGGAAAAAATTACGTCCTTTATTAAGCCTAACTGGCCAGGCCTCACACTCTGGCTGAGAGGGTGGTCCGTGCGTCCCGCGACGTCAACCCCAAACAGGGACAAAGATGTTTGGGCAAACACACATGCCATGCACACGCTGCCATGAACACCGTAAGAACAAGGAGCTGGGCTTTTGGCCTCTCTCCACACATGCCAACGTATGCGCACATCCAGCTACTATGTAATTGACCCCTGATGGCGATGATGCAGGGAGCCTCTGGCTCTGGTTCTAGAGGGATCTACGGCCTGTATCCCCGGCGTCAGTGGTCTGGTTCCGGCAACCAACCACGGCACACACATATGGAAGGGTCTCGTTTGCCCTAAACTCACTTCCCCTCAACCCCCACGAGACCATTGGCATGGCCTGCTCTGGTACATACCGCAGGGAGACAGATAATGGCTCAAATTAGATAATTGCACTTATATCTCCGATACGAGATATGTCGCATGAGAAAAAAGAAAACTAGAACGAAAAAAGTAAACCCTTAGAATGAAAATGAGACATTGCTTCGGAGCGGGCTGATCAGGTAGGCTACCATAAGACCCGAAGCCACATGGTTACCAATGAATGCCCATCCCACATCGATGCCAAAATTCTACCCCACTGAGCTGGGCTCGGTGAGCGGCCTACCAGGAAGGTGGGGCAGAAAGACACCGCCCGCCCAAGAAAAATACTCGAAATTTTCCAATCTTATCTCTTATCTGACCCTGCAGACCAAAAAATCAACACCAAGATAATACCCATCCCGATTTTTCTCCCATATCGACATTGATTCCACAACACAGTAAATAAGTCGCCTACCAGTCGCCAAGATGCCTAAGTCAAAGCGCTCCAAGGTCGTGCACATGACCCAGGTCTCCAAGAAGACCCGCGACCAGAAGGAGCAGCTCTTCCAGAGCATCCGCGACGCCGTCCCCGAGTACCAGCACGTCTTCGTCTTCAGCGTCGACAACATGCGCAACAGCCATCTCAAGGACGTGCGACGTGAACTGTCCGACTGCAGGTGCGGGGAAAGCTCAAAAGCAAAGGGTTAACACCAATTGGCTAACATATATACCCCCAGAATCTTCTTCGGCAAGACAAAGCTCATGGCCAAGGCCCTCGGCCACGACGCAGCCGACGCCCTCGCCCCTGGCACCGAGGACCTGTCCAAGTACCTCTCCGGCACCGTCGGCCTCATCCTCACGAACCGCCCGGCCCAGGAGATCCTCGACTACTTCTCCGCGTACGCCCCCGTCGACTTCGCCCGCGCGGGCGTCCCCGCCAGCAGGGACTTCTCCATCCCCGCGGGAATCGTCTACTCCACCGCCGGCGAGGTCCCCGCGGAGCACGACGTGCCCATGGAGCACTCCATCGAGCCCGAGCTGCGGAGGCTGGGGGTCCCCACCAAGATGGTCAAGGGCAAGATCGTGCTGGGCGAGGAGAGCGGCGAGGGCGAGGCGTACAGCGTCTGCAAGGAGGGGGACATCCTCGACTCGCGGCAGACCAGGCTGCTCAAGCTGTTTAGCGTCTGCTTGAGCGAGTTCAAGGTCAACGTGCTAGCGTAAGTGAAGGCAATCTCTCGCCTGTTATTCTGTTGCAGTATACTAACATGGTCTTGCTTAGATACTGGAGTTCGGCTACTGGGGAGGTGACTGAAGTCAACCCCAGCGCAATGGAGGAATAAATGACCAAGACATATTTTTCAGTTTAAGGGTACACTATTTTTCATGACTTATACCAGCGCGAAAATCGGGAATGGCGTTGACGGGGAACAAAAGCACTTGGGACGCACAAGAGCATTCATCACATAGTAGATCTAGAGCCTTGAAATGGCACTGCGTCTCCCTCATCAGAACTACACATCGTCCAAGTCTCACAAACGCATAAAAGGAGAAAGAAACTCAATTGACCTCCGCAGGGCAGCCCGTATTGTCACGGTTCATTTCCATGGCTGGGGCTGCGGGAGAGATACCTAGCAAGTAAAACAGTCGAACAAACCGCAGCATTCGCGCCCTTAGCTTACCATAAGGGCTGCGGAACCTGAAGAACCAAAGCCGCTGTTGGTCCCTCGGTCCAAATCGTAGTAATATACACAAAGACTAGAAAATTACCTTCCGTTCCGGTTCCGTTACAGATGTGTTGTTAAAAGGGATCTCGTCTGCAGCATGAGCGTCAAACAGAAGAAGTAGTGGCAAACCATCTATCAAAACGCGGGCGATTTGATTTGGAAGGGAGAGAAGGGAGGAATCGAGGTGCTGCTGCCGAAAATGCAGCTCGGATAATCGCTTTTCAACCTGGTGCTTGAGTCGGGGTACAGTCTTCCAGAATAGGTCGACTTCTGATCCATTGGTAGTCGTAAATTGCACGACCTTTTGATTACCCTTTTGTTGGGGGGAAGAAGGGACACTGGACGACAAAAGAAGGGGTACTGGAGACCCAAGAACCCACCGGATATTCTGATGATGATTCTCAGTACCTCCGCAATTTGCGAGGGTCCTCATAGCCACCTCCATCGTATCCGCGCTTTCGGTTATCCTCTTCACGGGGTCGGTCGTAGTCCCGGTCGCGATACCCACCCTCTCGTCGGCCGATAGGTTCCATATTGCTGCCGGTCCTACGGCCGCCGTCACGATCCCGATGTCGGCCTCCGTCTCGTCCGTCGCGGCCTCCATCTCGGCCTCCATCACGACCATCTCGGCCGCCGTCTCGTCCACCATCTCTGGGTCTGTCGTCATATGAGCGTCCACCTCGGGATTCAAACCCACCAGAGAAATTGCGGTCGCCGCCATTTCTTCGATCAAATCCGCCAGGTCCGGAGGGGGCGCCGCTGGGGGCGCCGAAACCATTGCGATCGCCACGGGGTCCGGAGTCGCCGCCTCTGAATCCTCCGCCACGTCCTCCAAAGCCACCTCGGAAACCACCGCGGCTACGACCACCGTCGAAGCCCTTGTAACCGCCACGATACCCACCACCAAACCCACCAGGTCCCATGAGGCGAGATGGCATAGCCTTGGTGTAGCCACGGCCTCCAAGGCCACCACCCAGGCGGCGAGGCTTCCAGCCACGCACAGTTCGCCCTCGCTCTACATCGACCTTGATGTGCCGGTCTTTGATTCGAATACCATCGCAAGAATCGATGGCAGCTATCCACGGTTGCGCCAAGTAGGCGCGTGTCAGTAAATCTTACCATGATGAAACCCGGTACATTTTGGCTTGGGAGATCAGTGAAAAGGAATCATCTACAACGGAGACGGGCAAGCTTGAGGGCCCTATTGTGTCTCGCAACCGTACAAAATCCAGGAGAGGGCAAGCTTGAGGGCCACAGCTCCAGAAATCGTGTACGCCTTGTACTTGATTTTCTCTTCACCAACAGGCAGAAAAGACGCGACAAAACAAAATCAAAGGTTGGGGGTGGGGGAAATTACCTCTCATGTCCTTTTCTCTCTCGAAAACAACAAACGCGTATCCTCGGTGCGGCTTCTTCTTCTTATTTGGCTTTTCGTGGGTGTGGCTATCTTTGACAATACGAATCTATTGAATGTTAGTACAAGGTTTCTAATGAAGGGTCGGGTAGTAGCTCATACGCGCTCGATGGGACCGAACCGCCCGAACTCGCGTTCCAAGTCTCGCTCATCAGCTTCGTAGCTCAAGCGGGCCACAATCATAGTTTTAAAGGCGTCGCCGCGGATATTGGGGTCCTCATTAGGTTTATCTGTAGATGGCAAGAGAAACATGTTAGATACGTTCCTGCACAAGTTCAGCTGGGGGGAAATGGGGAAATCGCACAATTCTTAGGACCCTCCGTAATCAGCTCCTGGACAGCTTCATTCTTCTCGCGCTTTTTCCGGTCGCGCGCCTGCAGCCAACTCTCCGTCGGCTCGTACTTGTCGGTCTCCTTGTAGTGCTGCAGCTCGGGGAGGAAAGCCGCGACACCGTCGATGGGAGCTGTCTTGCGACGCTCAGGCGCGTGGTCGGGGTGCTCGAGCCAGCGCAGCGGCGGGCGTGGTGCGAAAAGCGCCAACAAGTTAGGCGGGAGCTTGTCCGTCATCGCGCCGAAGTTGTCTGTGGGATCCCTGCGATGGCTGTTGTCGAGAGGGGGGTTTTGTGCTGGTGCAGAGAGATGGGTTAAGTAAAGGGTGAGAACAGCTAGGTAAGTTTCGACTCGAAGGTTTCCTGCGCCGCGAAACGATGCGTGCGTGCGTGACACTTAGCCGGGGTTTTGCCGCACTTCCCAACACGCTTTTCTCCGGTGCCTCATTCTCTCGACTACGAACCTGAGGAAGCTCCAATATATTAATTGCCATCAATTCATTCGCAATGACAGTGAAGGCTCTCAGAGCCATCCCTAGTGGTGGCAAGGTATGTATCTCACATATTTCCCTCACAGCCAATCCATTTATACTATACTCAATTGCCCATAGAATGGCCTCGGCGCATTCATCCTCCAGTGCAAGAAATTAGAATTTCACTACTGTGACTGGGCCGGCAGCTCCAAGGGCATGAAGTAGGTGTCCTGAAGATCTTGCTAGATATCTATTCATCTAACCATTTTCCCAGCGGCTTCATCAAGTCTCTCCTCCCGAAATTCGCCGCCGCGAACCCCCAGATCGAGTTTTCCATCTCCCCACGACCCGGCAAGCACCCCGTCGTTACCGGCCACTACATCAACGGCCGAACGAAGCCAATCTGCGTACGAAACCTATCACCATACGAAATCCTCGAGAAGCTGGAGTTATTACGAGACGCCAGTGGAGAGAAGCTGAAGCGTACCAACAAGGCGGTGACGAGCACCAAGCCCAGTGTCAGAGGCATCTGGTCTCCATACCACGGCAAGGGCATGATTGTGTAGATAGGAGCATTTTATGTATATTACCAAATGAGCGGCTTGGACTGTTACATGTAACAACAATGATATATCACGATTTCGAAAATGAACATATATTTATCCATCATGTCAACTTCATGGGGAACGGCAAGGCATCGAGCCTAGTATTGGGAAAGCATGTCAAGCAACGACACTGGAGTCTCTTAAGTGGAGATGGAAATTCTTTTATTTTATATTTCACTACATCACCATGTGTATTAGGCTTGGGCATGGCATTTACCCTTTTTCTTTGTTATCCTTCTATGACCCGGTGTACAGGGCAGTCTCCATTTACTGGTGGCAGTTGATGATTTTGACGACTGCAATATATGTTAGCTTTTATATCACATTATTTGAAAGTAGCTACAAGACCGGAAGGGAATTTTCTTACAGGCAGGCTTGAGAGAGGCGCCACCAACGAGGAAACCATCGATATCGGGCTGCTTGCTCAGCTCGCCGCAGTTGCTCTCGTTGACGCTGCCGCCGTAGAGGACGCGGGTCTCGTCCGAGACCTTGTCGCTGACGCCCTTGAGCCAGTCGCGGATGGCCTTGTGCACGTCCTGGGCCTGCTGGGTGGTGGCGACCTTGCCGGTGCCGATGGCCCAGATGGGCTCGTAGGCGATGACGATCTTGGCCCAGTCCGGGTTCTTGGACTTGAGGGAGTCGAGCTGCTTGGTGATGACGCTGATGGTGTTGCCGGCCTCGCGCTCCTCAAGGCTCTCGCCGCAGCACCAGATGACGCCGAGGCCGTTGTCGGTGGCGTACTTGGTCTTGGTGGAGACGACCTCGTCCGACTCGCCGAGGATGGTGCGGCGCTCGGAGTGGCCGAGGATGGTCCAGGTGATGTTGCTGTCCTTGAGCTGCGAGACGGAGATCTCGCCCGTGAAGGCGCCGTTGGGCTTGTCGAAGACGTTCTGGGCGGCGACCTCGATCTCCTTCCTGAGGTGCTCGCGGGTGGGGAGCAGGTACAGGGATGGGGGGGAGATGACAACCTCTGCAATGTCGCGCTGGTTAGCTCTGGAGCAGGTAGTTCGGGGAGGTGGGATTGGGAGAGAGAAGGCTCGACTAACCGACATTGGAGTCGAGCTCGGATTTGTTGAGGTTATCGACAATCTCCTTGATGGACGAGAGAGTCCCGTTCCTAGAATCAGACAGGTATCAGCGCTGGGCCGTTGATAGAGAGCTTCATGCTACTGTGGATGCGCCGTTTTGAGGGGTCCAGCAACCGGCAGCTTCAACGGCTGCGGGCGGCTGGAACAAAGCTGACTTACATCTTGAAGTTGCCGCCGACGAAGAATTTGCGAGCCATGGTGATGGTAGTTTCTGTGGTAATGTGGTTTGAAGGGAATAGGATGCTAGAACGGATGGAGCCAGGAGTTGGTGTTCTTTATTGACGCGAAGAGCTATGGAGGGGAACTGGCCATGGAGGGGTAAAAACAGGTGATGGCAATTACTGGTCTCGGCCCCCACATTGAGACTGGCGCCATGGGCCGACAAGTGGGCGACAGAAAACGTGCCACCGAGATTGGATCTCGACCTGACATCAAGCAATTGACCGAATGACATGCAGGATATCCAGGCCGTTATCATAAGATCATCCTTTTTATGATTATTTCGTTTGCTGATTCCAACCAAAGCACCCGGGCTCCATGGCTTACACAACAAGACTTTTGGTGTGCCACCTCTGGTTTCAGCCACTCGACCGATTCAACACAACACCCGGATCTTCCCATCGTGCAGCCCTCCCGTCCGAGGTTAGTGAGCTGGCATAGCCGAGCCCAGACTAGTTTCCTATATCGTAGAGTCGCTTTGCCAGGGCTACCATGGAGTGAATTGGAGCGGTCAAAGACAGACCATCGATGCAACAGAGCGTAGATGCCATACATGGCAACAGCCCCCGCAGTGGCATCAATGCATGCACCAGGGGCGGTGGAGGAAGATGGCTCGTTGCTCTGAAACATTTGAGTCGTCATCTTACCAAGAAAGATTTAGGTCATCTACTTTCACCGATGGGAACATTTGCTTTTAGGCAAAGAGCAAAACTGCGATTGACTAACTAAATAAGACTATCCAACAAAGAGAATACTGTTTCTGTTCAAGTGACTAACGAGAGTCCTTTTGTCTGTTATTGTAATCCGTTATCAACCCAACTGGGGTTTAAATAATCCATCGACAAAGAAAATCGTGCTTCTACAAAGAAAATCGTGCTTCTACAAAGAAAATCGTGCTTCTACAAAGAAAATCGTATAATGCTAAATGTTCAGCTAACCCTCTGCGGGATGCTGGAACTGTTGAACCTCCGGTGGAATGGCGAAGGGAATCTGATGACTCCAGACTTGATCTCATTCCGTACTGGGAGTGTGGCGCAAGCAGCGAAGCTATGACAAGTGCTTGGCTGCTCCCCAAGTCTCCCAGATACCCGGCTTGGTATTCGAGCAAATGCTTCAAGAAGTACCGTGCCGAGCTACATGTGTGGGTGACCGTGAACGCCTCTCTGCCCCGACTCCTGGCATTATATGCTGGATACACTAGTATTCCAGCACATCCATTCGCCACGGGGCGGCGTGGTCCGCGCGGTGTCCCTGATCAGGCCTCAAGGCCTTTACTCTATATAATCCCATCCCTCGTCCGGTTGGACCTTTTCAACCGCTGGTGGAGGTGAATGAGACATGGGTGACAGGAATGATGTCCTGTGTGGGGATTCCACTGGCCTTGGCGGCCATCTGACCCATGGTGTTGAGTCGCTTCTGGATCTCTCCGATCTGGGTAAGGTTGTTGGCATCCTCGGGCTTCTCCAGTGTTCGAAGGAGGTCCTCGACGGCCTTTCGCTGCTCGAGCCACTCCTCAATGAGTGGCTTGGCGGCAGGGGCCTTTTCCTTGGGGGGGATGCTCTTCTGGGAGGCCTTGCGGCTAACTCCCTGGGGCTCTGAGCTGTCGGTCTTTCTCTTGCGGCCCTTGGTGGATTGCGGTGCAGCAGTGGAAGGTGGGGATCCACCAGCACTGCCGTGGTCGTTGTGCACACGCTTCATATGGTCCTTGAGGTTCCACTGGCGGGGAAAGCCGTTTCCAGGAACACCGCGCTCGCATCCCTCATACTGGCACAGGAAAGGCTTGTCACCATGGCCATGGAGACCATGAGCCTCACGCTCGTGGCGGAGCAAGCAAGCGGTGGAAGAGAACCGGGCACCCTCGCAGGCCTCGGCCTTGCAGCGGTAAGGCTTCAGGTGGGAGTCCACGAATTTGCTGGTTCAGTTAGCGACGGCTCGGTGAGTCGGGAGGAGGATGGGGAAATTGGATGGGTCGACATACTCATAGTTGCACTTGAGCTTCTCAGGGCGGTGGTTGCAGCAAGACTCGCCCTCCCAGGGGCAGTGGTAGAGACCATCCTCCTTGGGGGTGGCGCTCTTGTACAATTCATGGTTCCGGGCAGTTTCGCCATCCCGGCGGGGTCCAAAAGCGGCGGGGAGGCCGAGGTTCTCACCAAGAGAGGGAATGGCAGCTACCAAATCCTCAGGCATCTCATTCTTAATTCCAATGCTACTGGAAGTTAGTCATCGATTTGGGAAAATGTCACAGAACAAACCAAACATATCACAACATACCTTGGGGACTGGCAAGGAAGCTCAGGTGATGAGTGAGGGCTCAGGGGACGGTGAGCCGACTGTAGCCAAGCCTCATCAATAGTGGCAGGTGAAGATGTCCTTGAGATGGAGCTAGAAAAGCTGTTCCAAGATCCGGGGGAAGAGTTGTCAGGAAGACTGGCGTCAGGGCCAAACTGCATCTGGGAAGGAACAACATGCATAGTGGGACTGGTGCTAAGGGAGAACTGTGATTCCAGACCAGTGGTCAGGTCATAGGTGGGCCAGTATGCTGAAGGGGGCATGAGGCTGGCATCTGTGTCCAAGAACAGGCAGGATGTGTCGACTCCAACCAAGGGGCCAGGAAGTTGGGATCCGTTCCTGAAAGTGGAAACGTTACCTCTGACATCCAAGCTGGACAATCTTGACGAATGTGACAGCGAGGATCCGTTTGAAATATTTGAAGGGATCCGGGACATGGCATGTCCTCCAGGGATCACAGGAGTAAGGCCAGAAGCCCATGCGTTCTCATTGGCATGAGAGCGCTCCAGTCTGGTTCCTCGGGGCGTGGCCTGGCCTGATGTGACAATGTACTCCTCGGCTTCTCCTGAATGGCAAGACTCAGAGTCTGGTAGATCTTGAAAGTTCTGTGCACCTTCTGATGTGCCCCACGTTGACCCGGGCAGAAGGTCTGCTGAGGGTTCTGTTTGGAAAGAATATAGCCCTGATTGAGGCATCATGTTCTGTGTGTAGCTGTAATCGCTATATTGGGTTAGTGTACTGTTCTCCACTGTTCATATGATATTGTGACAAGACAAAAGAACAAGGCGTGTATCAACTTTGATCTGGACTCATGGTTAGTCTTCCTGCAGTTACTGGGAGGGGGTTGAGGTATCTATCACAAACCAGCCATATGAAATGCAAGAGTTGCAAAGCAAAAAAGAAACTCAAGCAAGACAAAACAAAACAAAAGTCCAGAATATCCATGGCATCTACTTCCACTTGGGCAGTGACTGGGTGTTGTTGGTCCTAAGAGATGGCAATTGGTGTGGCTCCATTGTTGACAGAATTAATCAACATATGTAGGTTGACGATGATCCAAGTTGGGCTCCAGTAGTATGGCAAGAAGAGTTGTTGTGATCCATGGCAGTGGGAGTTGTTGAAGCATACAAGGTGAAGCTCTATAGTGAAGGGAACCAGTGTCGTCTCTATCTAGGGCCAGGTGATGCTGCAAGTTCCTTGGAGTGTCGAATTCAGAAAGTGGCGGCAGTGGGTAATGGCAGAAGGTGTGTGGCGTTCTCCATGTGGTCAAGGCTCATGTCGGTGATCAGTCCAGTGTCGTGCTACGTTTCCTCAATCTGGGTTCCAGTGTTGTTGTTGGTGTTGTTGGTGAAGTGGCAGTGGCGATTGATGGTTGATGGTTGTCTAAGACATGTCGCAAGTGGAGGATCCAAAACCATGTCCTGGATCGTAAAGTCTGGCAGCGCGGTTCATCTCAGGGGCCTCCTCGTTCCATGAAGAGAATCCAGTCAAATGGGATCCATTGGCATCTGGGGTTGCTCCTTGTATCAAATCCTTGGATGTATTGAGGTCCTCTGAGATTCTAAAGACTGTTTCTTTTTTTGAAATCTGTAGTTTGGGTGATACATACCACGGGTTGACATGCCCGCTTCTTGAGTGTGTGCAATGATTATTATTGTATTGCGCGCATTGCCCGGCTGGGATGCTCCAAAGATCCAAGAGAATGAGAGACAGAACGGTCCGAGAATATGCAGGTCCATGGTCCAGAAGAGAGAATGAAGTCCTTGGGGAGAGCAGAGTCTGAGGTCCAGGTGTCCATGGGAAGTGATTGTCGAGAGGATGTCTTGGTAGGAAGAGCAAAAACGAAACATGAAAGCAAGGAAAACAGTACCTAGAGAGCGAGTGAACCTCGTCGATTTCTGTTGGCTTGGAACTTGGCATAGTGGCCGGTTGAGACATAACAAGAGAAACTGTCATGATATCCAGGGCAGAGCGGCAATGCTCTTTGATCCGGTAGATCAACTAGGCTTGAGCAAATTAACTGCAAGCACCAGTCAAAGTGGTGTCGATGATGGAACAAGAAGCAAAGGGGGGATGATCCTTGTGGCTCCTCTTGGCTGATCGCTGGTGGGAAGGTGGAAGTAATTTTGTGTTCAGGGAGGCAAAAACGAGTCTTTGTGTGTTCAAAGAGGAGGCTTGGGTAGAAGAGTTGGGCAGGAACGTTGGGCAATGAATAAGGAAGAAAGAGGATCAAGTTGGGCAATGACGGGGCAGGCGGGTTTTATCCTACACCTTCCCCTCAAGCCAGGAGCTGAGAGCCCATTTTTCGCGCAAGAAGAATCCCAAGAGTGACGGCATTTCGGCCTCCTGGTTGTGTGATAGCCAGGGGCCCCCAGACGAAGCAATGCGCTGGCGTCTGGTGCATGTAGTCGCAGGGGCTTGATAGGGTGGGATGGGCAGGGATATCGCCGTCTGAGATTGCGACTGGCCCGTGGAGATGGTCTTGCAGATGGCCGGGTGGAGATGGTGCAGGCCATGCTGCCCTATGGCGACGAGCTGTCGGTCAACGAGGAGCTTGACAACACACAATGCATGCTTGGCGCCAGACGCTGCAGCAGGCGACCCAGGTCGACATGATATTGCGACCGTCCTGCCCAGCCGACGGGCCAGTTTCGCGCCGGCCAGCGTCGTGATGGACGCCTGCGAGCCAATCCTCCCGTCCAGCGCATCACCACGGCAGACCGACGCTGCTGCAAGCTGCTCGTTCAGGAACGATATCATCCCACCGGTCGCAGGAGGCCCTCGGCGCTGCGGCCACTCGGCCTCTTCGCTGGCATGCATCACGGGCTATTGGCTGTGTGGTGGCTGCTTCAACCTGTGCCCCATCCTCGCAAGTGCTCACCGACTCGACAGTCGACCCCATCCCCTCCTCCCCAGACAACCTCTGATTGCACCAAACCTGGGCGGAGGGCTGGGCGGGCGGTTTGCGCGGATGCTAAACTGCAGTTTCTGTCGAATCAAGCTGTTGTTTTCTCTCTTCTCATGCACTGTGACAGTTCAGCCTGCCAGCCAAGTGAGATGGCTCTGCCAATGCGGGTGAGGTGTGTGCGGAGACCGTAGTCAGGAAAAAGAACAACTTGGAAATTTTGTCGCACACTGTCGCACGTGCGATTCCGATACGCCTCGCACTCCATCCAAATCATGATTCTCGTCGCCAACACGAGCGCAAGCCTGCGATTACGCCTCCGCACCAACCCTGGCTAAGTTGTCTCACCCATCGTCGTGTGAGCAACTAGTCCATCTAAGATTTCTCTTCTTGGGTTGCATTGCTTAGTCCAGACGCATCTCATCACAGCGATGGTGCATTTTAGCGCTGGCAGGCAGACTGGCAGGTATCAACGACACCTGCGTTGCGATCCAACTCGTACGAGACGCCTGCACCTGAGCTGAAGGGGCCATCTTTCTCCCATTACTAATGATACGATGAACAACGCATCTCTGAATAATACATCTGAAAATAATCGTACAATGATACCCGATGACTCACTCTGCCACCGGTCGGAGGAGTGGTCAGGATACTTGGTCTATCGCTGCGATGCTACGATTCCGGAATGTGCTTCCCTCCCATATTCCCCTGAGATCTTCAGCTCCCTCGTGATCCAGTCCCCTGGTGATACCTGCGAGCATCGGCTTGACTGTCGCCCAGTCACTGATGCCCAATGCTTCATTTGCAATGGATAACTTGTCCTCGAATACTCTCTTCCACTTGGTCAGCTGCATAGCCTCAACTACATCCGAAGCTCTGCTTGAATCAGCGACCGCCGCGCCAAACAGGACGTACCATAGCCACAATGGGCCGGTGATTGGGCTCGCCCCTATCCGCTGCTCACACGTTGTGATGTCGTCAATGAGCTGTTCCAGAAGCCAGTCCACCAGCGCGGTATCCATCTGTCCAGCCCCGACCTCGGAGACTAGATAGAACAATGTTGCTATGAAGCAAGTTCGGCTACTTTGGGGGTCGCCATTCAAGATTCTTGGTTTGTATGTGTCTGGGTTGAAACCTCGCGACAACTCATAGTTAAGGTTCAGATGCTTCGTATGGTTTTGCCATACGGAGGCAGCCTCCCACCAACCGTACTTTGGTGCTTCAGTTGGTGGGAGGGCGGTGATATCCCATATCGATGTAAAGATGAGTGCAAGAAATGTTGGCTGATACTCTGACACAGAGACTACGTTGGGGACAGAGGCCATCTGTCGAAGACTCTCGCTCATCCTGCTCTACCAGTTAGCGCCATCTGATGCTATACTTTCTGCCATCAAGTCAACTTGCGTCTTTAGCATTTTTTGTGGGAGCGACGGGCCAGTTGGTCTGCTCTGCATCGCAGTTCTAAAGCCCATGAGGTGTTTTGTCGAGGTTTCCAAATCACCGATGGCTGCCTTATGTTTCGAGCAAGGTTAGCGTCTGTCTTCGATACAGAGTTTAACGTCTTGTGCGAAGGCTTCCATACCTCTGTTAAAGCGAGGGTTGATATTGCCAAGTTCGTCTCTCTTGTCCTGGCCGTGTCTACACTCAGGAGTTGTTCTCTCACGAAACGATACGTTGCCGATTTGTGATGAAGGAAGGGCAGTGTGACCTCATCCAGACTGCCCCTCACCCAAGCCCACTGGCAAGCAGCCAGAACGAGACACATGTGCATGTAACCCGGATTTTCAAAAGCCTTGTTGATCCTATGCGTTTATTAGCACATGAACACCTCGTGTTGAGCAGCTATTCGCAATAGTCTTCCTACTCACACACTCAGTTCGTTTTCCCTGACTACAGGACGCTGTCCTCTGACAGAGAACACGGCATCTGCGTTCAGTTCTGGTCAGCCAAGACCGGTAGTTGAGGGTGGTACATGACGACGGATCCACGTACAGTGACGCAACAGTGCTTTGGACGCTTCAGGTAACACATCAAAAGAGCCTCCCACGTAGCTGTTGAACGGCCGATTTGACACCAAGCTCCCAACATCATGCCCATCATCCACTTCATACTTGACCACCTCTTCGTTGACACATGGAGTCAACTCTCTGGACGACGGGTAGATACAGTCACTACCCGAGTGGAGACAACTTGTGCTGGTTGCAGGTTAGAATATTGCCCATATATAACAGACATAATGACGCATGATGGGGAATACAAGGTTCATCATCATATGTCTAGGTAATCTGGATGAATGGTGCATAAATACCACAGTGGCTTGCGCTCATCGCACCGAACGTGTCTTTTCTTGCATGTTTGACATCCGTTCTTGCTCCGGCGATGGAACTTTCTCTTTCGATCTTTTGGGGGAGCCATCGGGCATGCCCTGTTCAGAAAACCCCATACTCTTCACCGCTCTTAAAGACCCGCGATCGATTTGCCAGCAGCTGCGGCTTTGGCTGAAAAGAGGCAGAGACTGGAATGATGGAGGAAGGAAAAGAAGATCTTGGGTTTGCTTGGCTACCTACTAAGAGGCTCCTGATGACAGGCGCATCGACCATCTGGAGGGATTTGCTATACGAATCGTGCATATCAAGCAGCCAATCAGGGGAAAGACCGGGAGAAACTCCGCATTGTACCTTCCCCTTGGTTCGACATCAGTTGTGGCGTTGTCCCAAATGAGCCAAGTGCACAAGCCACAGTTTTGCCCATGGAAATACCGACCGGCAGTGCGTCCTATTTTTGGTCTGGAGGAATTGCCGGCACACATAAGCTTGGGTCGTCCAGGGAGCATCTGATATGCCTCAAAGATCTTGGATACCTATCTGGAAATTGCTCTTGGGGTTTAGAAACCTAGAGCAGCACTTTCTACCCTGGAGCTGCAAGGGTGCTTGTTGCGGGGTAGCCTTGCGGATTGAGTGTTCAGTCAGGGAGAACAGTGCTCCCAGACCTGCAATTCAGCTCTTGGAGAACCCCCTCACGAGCCAATTCTTGAAGAACTAGTCTCTTTATCCATGATGTTCATGAGGACTGGAGAGCATGCCCAGCTCGAGTCGGCTACAGCTCGGCTCTGCATATTGGCGAGGATGCGAACATTCTTGGGTTACTACATGTCTTTAATGCAGGGAAGGCGGATGCGTAAACATACGCTGAGATAAGACTTCATCGGGAGGTGTTGTATCTCTCTTTGGCTTAAGCACGGCATACCTATTCTATATGGGACATGGCTCGGGTTCGTGGGTAGCAACCTAGTTGGGATCAAGGCGTCCACGATTGCAATCATCGCTTTGATTCATTCTTAATTGGTGCATACTTAGTGACCCGATAAGGGATGTCAATTAGCACTGGGGAGTTTACTACGATTTTGTGTTGGGATACTCTTAGCTAACACCGTCACACAGGAAGAATAACGTTCTCCCAGCATTGACTTACTTATCATACTTTCTAGCAGACACAAAATGATGCTTGATTAGGTTGAAGTCAGCAACACATGCTCACATGATCACATATTCAGGCCCATACGCCTACACCAATACATTCATCTTGGTAGCTCAAGCACAGCGCGATGAATTCGAGAGTGTAGGGTATCTGAAAGATCTGGGTCTTGCAACGTACCCATGCAACGTGGTCGAACACCTCTTGAGCCAAAAGCTGTTTTTGGGGTGGGCGTCCGAGCGTTGATTCTCTTAGCTTCAGATCCTGAGGTAGGCATGTCGTGTGGGTACTTTCTAACTAGGTTCAGTAGATTCAGCGAGTTTGTCGCAGTTGTGTTTGAGAGCAAACAGCCCGAGGTGCTGACAGGTCAGGTACTGATGCTCTGGGCATTACCCCTTTCCTTTCCTTTTTCCTCCGATGTAAATTATTGGATGTTTTGGTGACGACGGCCGGAACAGAATCAATATTAAGATCTTTTAATTTCTCTCCTCCGGTGTCTTTTGTTTCCACTAGAAAGTGCTAGCGCTGTTCGTTGTCACAGACATGGGTTTAAACTGGCAATTCTTATCTGGTTGGCTCGCCTCAGTGCTGGAGATGGATCAGTGAATATTCACCCCCCATGTAATTTTTCATGGGTCGGGCATCCCGCCTCGCAATACGTCATTCTCATTAGAGAGATGGCGCCTCATCGGGTCTCGATGGGGCCCGTTTCACAGAATGCACGGACGAATCCAGCAAGCCAGGTAGCGAAGCGGCATCAAGATATCATATCCGCCCGCGCGAATAAGGCAGACACCAGCAATTGGCCTATTATCGTTCACTGCCGGTTTACGTCGGGTGGATCGTCTGGTGTGCAGACAGACTTGTCACCTATAGTGCCGGCTATTGCCATGCCGTGGCTGTCCTTGCGAAAGACCCTTTGTACAGGTCATCAGGCTTGGGTGATCGGGTGAGATGTGATGAAACGTTAAAAAGCAAAAAATAGGAGGTCCATGCCATGCCCTGCGCTCGGTTGTACGCCCGTTGCGTGTCACTCATTTCGTTCTTGGTGCCGGTGCTGGAGAAGGTGCGGGTGGTGATGGGGGCATACTCCGCGCCCAGCAAGCACCCAGACTGCCTGCTGGGTAATTACTTGCACAACACATACCTGGCTACCTGTCCTTCCATGCGTATGCACGTAGCATTGATACGTACAGGCGTTGGGAAGGACACGACACCGACCGAGGACGCTGCCTGGCGTTGGCAACATGTCAGGAGTCAAGACAGACATGCAAGTGCTCCCTCTCATGATCCACAGGAGCGGCGACACGTGCGGCTCTACAACGTACTACATCGTCACGCACCTATCGCAGGGCGCTCGCGAAGGTTCCTCGACGTCGCACAGACACGACCAGGGGGACCCATTTGGAAGCCTTTTTCCTCTGCCATCCCATCCCTGGGTGGCGTCTGCCAGCTGGCTTCGGGTGCTTGTTGAGCGAAAAGCGTGACCAGAGCACGAATGAATGGGCACCAGCTGCCCGATTCGACGCACCATCGGGCCAAGTCTGGGTTCTGGTCCCCTCACCCTAGAAATTTTGCTCCTGAAGATGATGCTGATGACAGGTCGGATGGAGATGGGATGGGGACGGATGGGGCTCGTCTCGTCCCAAAACGAAGCCAAGCCAAAAGCAAAACCAAAAAGAAACCAAACCACTCGACCCGACACGACAGTCGGGGTGGGCTGGGCTCGCGAGCCATTCGCCTGCTTTCCGTTTCGGTCGGGTCACAGCAGCATCCAGCACACGCCTCTGGGGGGGGAGTCCATGTCCATCCACGGCTTTGTCATGCAAGGCGAGGCGTGAGCTGAATGACACCGCGCTGGGCTCAGGCTCTGCTGCCTGGCGCCTGACTCAATTTCCTTGGTGCCCGACCTGGTGCCAATGGATCACTCCCCTCCCCAATGCTACGGTTGACCGCTCCCCGTTGTTCAGGGTTCTTCCTTGTTATTCTCGTCGCCCCATCTCTACCTAATTCCATCATCTATCTTTGGGCAACAATGCCTCGCGGCCAATCAAACTCCCGTAGCTCGCCCTGTTCAACCATCCTCGAGTCCCTCCCAGGATGTCCATCTGGGGTAGCCCCAGCTCACGATGTGCAACATCATCTGCCAACCGATTCCTGTTAATCTTGCTAGCATCAGCCTTCCCAATGCTCACTTGTCCTTGAGCCCTGTGTTCGCCACTCTCGCCCGCCCTCCATCCACCCAGGCCGCAAGATCGCCCTGCCCAGTCTCTTCGTTGACAGAGCTAGCCGCCGCAGGCACCAGGGCACGGGGCTGAATGACCATTGCCATCTCATCAATCGCTCACATTCACATATTGTCGCGCATTGTGCCCATTCCCCACTGCCTCGGTTATGTGGAAACAGCACTGAACACCATCCATCGGACTGCAAATCTTGCCGCGAATCGCCCTCCCGCTTCCTGGCTGGTCCCTGTATCGCGCAACAGTCTTAGCACAAACGGGGCATTGTCGCTCCCGTTCTCAGACTTGCCGCCAAGGTGGTCCTGTTCTCTTTAGCTCCCTCCGAAAAAGACATAATAGAGCTCTCGATTCCGGAGCTGACGATCCCTCTACTTTCCCCTTTGCTCATCAACCCACCTAAATCCCCTAGGCTGGCTTGTCTCCAATGCATTGAGCATTTGCGCACTATCCCTTGTGCCTGCCTCTACATCCCACTTGCATGAAGTGTTTATAACGCAGCCAGTTGTATGCTGCTGGGGACGGGTCAGCCAGTCACCGGATCTCACCGCCTTGTCCTTACCTTTACTTCCGAGCTCCTTGGAATATCAACTGCCCAGGAAATCCCGGTTCCCGTTTGGAGTTTTTCTAGATCTTGTATCTCACATTCGACAACCAAGGATAAAAATACTTCCCCGGATATATGTCAGGGCGTCCATCGGATTGATTAATTTTGGAATCTCACCTGGACACTTGTCAACAACAGCTCTTAATCCACCCAGGCCTTTGGTCCTTTGTACCCCCTTGCCCCCTAGTTTTATTTACGAGATAGCTTTCTATTTCCTTTCCCTTCCTTCTTGTCTTTGGTTCTATAGTCGCCCCCTGTTAGTGGCCAGTGGACAGTGGACATGTCGCAATCCGACTTTGTATGCAGAGCTCCCGCCGTCTCGGGCGGCCCCTGGGGCTCAAACCGGAGGTATGGACACACCGTCCTGCCAAAACGCTCAGCATCATACTGACGAGTCTGTAGTTCCTTCATCGAACCTTTCAAGGGTAGCTACGAAAATGGCTTCTACTCCGTTTCAAGGTAAGAGCCAGCAATGTATCCCACCTCCCGACCTGGACATTTAGTAACATGTGTATTCTTAAAGCGCAAACTACATCGGCAATGGGTATACTCCTGGTCATGGTGGTCCTGTGAGCCACCGAGGGAGCATTTCACGACCCGATTCTGCCTTCCCATCTGGTGGATCCTTCACCAGCCGCCCACAATCAGCCGCCTTCACTGGTGCAGCAATGGGATCATACAATGGCACAGCATCTTCCCAGCCTTGGGACATGCCGGGGCGGTACTCCCCCACCGATTCCGTCGACGATATCATTGCATCTCCAAACCTATCAGATTACTCCATCGAGAACGGCATGAAGCCCGCCAGCCACAGCGGCAAGGCGAAGGCCAATGGCAAGAATAGGCCCCAACGACGGCCCTCGAATCGGGATGAGTTTGACGGCCCTCATCAGTTCTTGCAACGACCACCGCCTGGCGTGATTGCCATGCAGGAACGAGAGTTACCTCACTTGCCGACCAATCTTCATATCCAGGAGCAAGACAACGTCCTCAGCCAAGTCAACGATAGGTTGTCCCAGTGTGCTTTCGATTTCGTCGCCAAGTATCAGTTTCCCATTCCCTTGACCCAGGACATGCGCCCCGTCGAGCGGCCACAAGACCGAGAATGGACCGAATGGGTCTATCTGCTCAAGCGTCTTGCCACCAAGCGACGAATCCCCGCACGAGTTCTGTACAATGGGCAGATCAAGCAGTTTGTGACTATTCTCGAGAACTCTCTGGAGATGAGACACGCTGCCAAACACCAGAGTCGTCCTCTCAAGGACGACCGCAACATACTTCAGCTCATCTCGGCTGGCATTCAAGTCGCCAAGATCCTGAAGGATGCATCGGCCATGGATTACCTTGACCAATTATACGTTTCCACCGAAAAGCAGATTCGGGAGCGGACCGCGTCTCGCTTCCGACACTAATCTTGCTCTTCACCCACGTCTCCTAATCGAGACAAACCCACGTTTTTGGATGCTCGCCATCCTCCTCGTCGCGTCAGCGATGCTACACAGAGAAACAGATTACTTAGTGGTTCTGGATCTCCAGACCTCTTAATGAGAAATGATGATGATATTTTCCTATCTTCGGTTCGCACCTTGTTTGCTTTCACCATATATTCACCGAGATTGAAATTGCGATTTCCTTTCTCTTTTCTATAATTCTGTTTCCAGTTGGCTTTTGATTATATTTGGGTTTGTGATACCTTGAGGATTTTTCGAGCGGGCAAAGCAGCTCCATGTCAACACACGATCGCTGCGGAATATTCTCAGGGCAGAGAGAGAGCACTCGTGGAGGTTATGTATGCGGTTATGTTCTTGTTTTTCTTTTTGCCTTTTTATTGTATCAAACGTATGATTTTCAAATTCTTAGCGAGTCCTTTCATCTATTTTCAGCGGAGAGTTGGTGTTCAAATCGGTGGCCGTTCCAGCCTGTCTGTAGCCGAAGAACTACAGAAACGAACCCCAACTTCACCTTCAGGGAAGGCAATAATGAAACGGGTTTCGAATTCGCTGGGAGCGATTTTCGCCACAAGCGCCATTGGGGGATACATATGATAGATGAATGACACGAGTCGCTACTGTTCGATTTATTTACTTGTATCACTTACACATTATACAATCCGGATGCTGAAATGGGCTGAAAGAGGACGCTCACTGCCGGGTCTATAGAGGAGGGAGACGATCGTTGGCTGTGATGGGATCTGCCACATCGTCACAAGGCGTGTGTGTGTGTTTACATGGGAAATGAGCTGGCATCAATTCGAAGAGCCGAGGCTTAGGTAGTCTTTACAAGTCAACAAAATAAAGCACTCTTTGATGCATGCATGTTTGTCCGATTTTAGTCCTGGTGCCCACACTGAAGAAATCAATGGAACCAGGGTGGAGCGGACGGGTTGTCTAGACCTGTTGGTTCTTCTCCCACATCGAACGAATATGAATAGTTACACTCCTGCGCATTGAAGAGTCGCAAGGTGTAGGCAAATTGTGGGTTGCTTTTTCAGCTGGTTTTGTAGATGAAGGCATTGGCATCTGAGCCGCAGCAGAATTGGCTAGGACCTACCGTCCGTCACCTAAGATGATTTCATGGTGTTTGTTGTACACCATTTCTTAGGTGACGCGAGTGAATCAATGTTCATTACTCGAAATACATCTCCATGGAATTCACCATGGACATGCAAAGCTCAACTGTGGTATTGCCGACTTGCGGAAACCCTGAGGTTGAGGTTGATGTTGAGAAGAAGAGCAGGAGAAAATTTCAGAGGGAAGAGCAGTTTGATGTACCTGGTGAGCAGTCACGTGATCACAATGGGGCGGCTCTACAGGGAAATAGCTCCACCACCGTCCTGCCAGCCTTTTTCTTTTTCTTTCCTCTTTACACTTTTTTTCGCACGAATAATCAACCGTGAGCGATAGTTTCACTTGTTGGCGGTCAAATTTATGTGCTAGAGGGACGGAAATCTCTGCTCAAACTCTGCGGTTGTCGTAACTCCTCACGAGTTTCAGCGATCCTGGGCGGAGCTTCCTACATGCTGTCACATATCAAGTCCTTCGCATGGACATATCGTAGTGTTCGTAACGCTCTAGCACCTACGCGTTTCCACGTGTCTTTGAAGGTGAGATGGCTTAAAGACCGTAGGTGAATCTTCTTTCTATACCTACCGTAGACACTCGCAGTTAAAGCGCTACCTGGACAAGGCATGTTGCCTTCTGTCACGAGCAAGACGAGGGAGCATCGGTTAATTTTTTTTGTTTATTTCATATAACACTGGCTATATCCTCTGCGAGAAACTTGAGTCTTACAACTGTTTAACTCACATGACCACGGTCCGGAAGCTGGGGAGGAGGTTTGCCAAGTATTAACCCGTGAGGTCAATGATTGAATGAGACAAATGGAATTGTGACGCTCTTGTACAAGATGGTGAAAAGGGAATCCTGCCTAGACGTCGAGGTGTTCCTCTAATAAATTCCTTTTTGGCGGCCCAAGATATACACTTGGCCGTCCCTTTAACGCTTCTTCACCAAGTCCTCAATGCCGGGGGATATGTACACCAAATGTTGCAGGTTTAAGATGGGGAATTATTTTTTTCGCGGCCTCTCCTAGACACTTATTCCGACCCCTTCTTAAGATCCCTGGCGGCCTGCTTCAGGCTGAAGTTGCACTCCTCGTATGCGCGGCCGGCACCGAAGCCGACGCCGATGACTGCGGGCCATGCCCTTCGCTTGAATAATAGGACGGAGAAGACGACGCCGAATCCAAGACCGAGGCCAGACTTGACGATGAGGTTGGAGAGGCAGCGATCCCACTAAGGAAAAATGTGTCAATGAGGGGGCTCCGGGATCATGGCTGTTCTGGTGCGCCTTTGGTGGAGGGATATCTCTCTACCTTCTCGTTGAGCAGTCCTTCGCTCACGGGCCGGGAAATGGCGCTGGGCTGGCGGGTGACGGGGGCTTCGGCCATGATGGGCGGACTGGGAGGGGCGGTTGTCAGTACCGTGGGATCGCAGGCGGCGGGCCGATTCGAATTGACCTACCTTTCGAGCTCGGGAAAAAAGGTAGAACGGTGCGTCGAGCTTGCGATTGAGCTTCAAGGGCGAATTCAATGTGACGGCAAGTCTCACGAGAATCACTCGGCCAAGCGCTAGCCTTTCCCGAAGGCGGTGAGGATATGGGTGCCGTTTGGCTGGATGCGGTATAGGGGCGCGGCAGAATTTTGGAAATTTTGGCGGACGACTGGGTAAAGTGTCTTGCGGCGGCGCATTGAAAGCATATGGAGATCAACTTGAAAAACAACAATTAAAAACTCTCAGCCTTTCTAAGCTACAATTCGAGTTCCATCTGATGAGTTTATGAGAGTAAATTGTTATATTCAGCTTTGGAGCTATGGTAAGAAAAAAACATCATATTTTTTGTTCTTGCTTCGAATTACTGACCACCTGAACAGGGCAAGGCGGATCTCATCAAGACCGTCAGAGGTCTTGATCAGTCTGGGCCGGGA